TGCCTGCTCATTAAGCTCTTATAAACCCTCAGTGTGGTTTTCAAACCCAGATGAACATCAGTGTCAAGGTTAACAGCAACAAATAAGTCTGCACAAAAATCTAATTTACAGAAGCAGACTCTTTTAAATTATGTGACATTTTCCTTATCCTGTGGAAGTAACAAGATTCATGTTTCCCTCTGTAATATTCACAAGAGTATGTGTTTTAAGTTGTTCCTGTTGTTTGATGGGCAGGCTAAATAGTACTACTATTGGATAGAATTCCTTTATTATATGATTTCTCAGACACTGCAGACATGTAAGATGTGAATCCCAAATATAAGCAGCAAGCTAAGACATCATCATGTTGTCACAAAAGAATTGCAGTCAGGGCTGCTTGGCATAGAGGAAAATATTCAGTTCCTTTCTCTCAAATTCTTTGACTGTTCTGATCTTATCCAAATGACTAAAACCATAGGAACTGAAAAACTGTTTAGTTTTCTGGCTCCGGTTATACCTGACACTTCTTTTGAACAAATAAAATGTTCTCAGACTTGGTAAGAAAAACATTTGTCAGATCACTAAGTTATTTTCTCTTCTCCATGGAACTCCAGAGCACAGCATGTATTGTATGAGATTGTCACTGGTCTAAAAGGAAAATTCATATAGAAAACCTCTTGCATCTTATGCCAGTAATACTGACACCATTAATAACATTTCATGATTTTAAGAATTCATAAAAACCATGTTCCTTTTTACAGTTTTAGGGCAGAATTGTTATTTTTTGTGTTCTTTTCCTTAATCAAGTTGATTTAGTAGGCTGGTTAAGACTTGAGTATCAGAAAGAAATCTAATTACAGGTTTGTCAAAAGTAGTGTCAATCAAAATGATGACTTCTCCGTTAAATTTCTTCTCTCAGAAGAAACACCACCATCTTCATTTCTATACGAAGAGCCTCTAGTTTTCTCATTCCTTTGTTGTACTCAATTTTACTGACTTTACATTCTTATCAATATTTGTGAAATATTTGTTCCTGTAATTTCTCTTTTGGACAGTGTTTCTGTTACATTCACTCCCCTGTCTTGTTCTATCTAATGCTTCTCATTTCTGCCATTTCTCATGTTGCTATCTTGTTACCACTGGGTCAGCCTCCTGCATGCATGTCCTAACACTTACTGTACATTTTGGCATCCATTTAGGAACCTTGATGTATGTTTATTTTGACCTGTAGAAATACAAATCTATAGTCCTTACAGCAGATAAAAAGGAGGTAGCACATGAAGATTGTTCGTGAGGAGTTTTAATAAGTTCATGAACTTGCAAATGTTCATTGTTGCGGTGTTCTGGGAAAGATAGAATTAGATGAGGATAGACTTCAGTAATTCCTTTATGCTTTCTTATGTGAGCTATTGAAATTTTTATTCAGTTCTTGAATTTGACAGATCTGTCAAATTAGAAATTAGCATGTGGCTTTCAAGGCTGAACTCTGTCTCCTAAAATATTGTAGAAAATGAGCTTTTCTAATTGAAAGCCTAATAAAAATCATCCCAATTACATCTGTTTAGATAGCTGTGTCCATTTTACTGAAGCATCCTGTTCTGCTCTCTGCCAGAGACAGGATACTGTACTAGACACTGTTGGACACTGTACTAGAATGGGCTACAGATATTACATACTATGGGAATTCTTATTTCTTATGCCATTTCAGAGACAGCCAATAGCAACTAAACCTTGGAGCAGCTTTAAAAGGGTGGGGTAGGGAAGAACAGGCGTGATGTAGTACCAGATGTGTTTTTCGAAGTGTTTACGATGTCTGGAACTTACTAAGATAATAATATCTTTAAGAGATATATAATGTGTTAAAGAACAAGAAACTCTTCTAATGGGATAACTTCAGGAGAAATTTTTTTTCCAATATTGCTTATCTTTTTTGGCGATATAAACTGCAAAGGAAAAATAATTCAAATATTGTAGAGTAAGTACATTACATAGAAACCTTCATGAGTACTGAAAAATTGTGCTCTACTGTAAGGCTTGTTGTCAAATATGTAGTTTCCCCTTGTCCTTTTTATGTGAGGATGACCCCTGTGGTCATCATCTCTGCAGTAGCTGTCGAAGTGCGTATCTCACCAAGGTCCACTGCTAAAAGCTATAAACATAACAATTAGGAAAAAATGATGCTTATAGTTTGACAACGCATGGCTTCAGTTCAGTATCTTTTGCTTGCAGTTGTCTTTTCAGTAGAGACACATGCGGTTATATCTCCTGTGAGATGCAGATTTATTTTTATCTTCCCCAGTATATATATTTGCAAATATACAACCTCAGAACTATTCCTTAGGCTCAAATCTATTGTTATACTGTTGTAACACTGACTTTGAGCAAAATCCGCATGTTTTGCATACCTGAAAAATCCTTTGATGGCTTTTTCAGTACATGGAGTGTTTCATGCCGTCTTTCATAAAGAGGTGAAAAGTAAAATGTGGTAAATGGAGACAATACCAAGACTATGCCATAAGTATACAAATCATAACAAGAAAGAAATTTTTTTGGCTTGGTTTTTGAATCCATCTGCCTGTTACATTTTTAAGTTCAAATAGCTAAACTACTTCTGGTTTAACTATTACATATTTGGCAAGCTTAATAAAGGACAAATCAAAGCTAAATCAGGGGTATTTACAACAACCACAAATTTAATCCAAAGTGGGTACTTAAATGCTCATACAGTTCTAAATGATGTTCCTTCCAGATGGTGAATTAATGCAATTTTAGCAGGAAGTGAAGTTGCACAAATATGCAGTATTTAGAACACTCACTGATTTAATGTTTCTGTACCCACTAAGGCACAGATGTTGCTTATCATTTTCATGCCAGTTGTCTCTATCTTTCCAATTATTGCTAAGCAAGGAACAGAGCTTGCAAGGGCAAAAAGGGGGCTGGGAAGAAGTTAAGTTAGTAAACCCTAATTCAGATGTAGATGAATCTTTTCTATCCTAGACCCGTTTAATCTCCATGGTAGTAACAATGTTGGCCTACTTGTTAAGTGTCTAATTATAATCTGTAGTGCTTGTACTGCCTACATTATTGTTGTTTGACTTTTAAGTAAAATCTTTCAACTGTTAGAGCTCTCACTGACTCACATCATCAGTGTTCTGTGCAGTGTCTCTAAAATAGTGATCCAAAAGAAGGTGCAGGAGAGACCTCTTGCCTTAAGCAGCTCCTCATAGGTTTTTCCAATATCAGAAGCAAAGTCATTCCTTACTTCAGAGTGATTTGAATTTGCTGAATGTATTTCAAAACCTCCCGCTCTTCCATATACTGCACAGATTATGAGGGATAAAATATTTCTTTCTAGTGTGCTTCTGGTGAGACATGTCAGTGAAATAGTTGTCTGCACTTGTGATACATAGGAGTAGATAATGTTTTCTGCTTTTCCAACTGAAAACAAAACTGGGGAGAGAGGTATGAAGGACTTGATTATTTTGGTAACTCCTTTTTCAAACTGGTAAAAAATAGTGTTGGAGTATGGGGCAGCTTCTCTGAGTTGCACTCTGTTGCAGTTCACCAGTTCAACATTGCTCATTGCAGCATAGAAACCACAGCACTTTGTCTGCCTTTACTTCTGGTATGGGGCTGACATTCTGCTTATATTTGTTGACCACGCAAGACACATACGTATTGACACTCGAGAACTTTGCATTTCTGCATGCTACTTGCTCTAATGGGGCACAATCAAAGTAGATAGTTTGGCTTTGTGTATTTAATTTTCTGTTGAAGATGTATGTCATCTTCAATCACTACTTCACTGTTCATAATCATAGAATGAATCATGTAGTCATAGAATGGCCTGGGTTGAAAAGGACTACAATGATCATCTAGTTTCAACCCCCCCTGCCACGGGAAGGGTTGCGAACCACTGGACTGGGCTCCCAAAGCCACATCCAGCCAGGCCTTGAATGCCTCCAGGGATGGGGCATCCACAACCTCCTTGGGCAACCTGTTCCAGTGCGTCACCACCCTCTGAGTGAAAAACTGCCTCCCAGTATCTAACCTAAATCTGTCCTGTCTCAGTTTAAAACCATTCCCCCTTGTCCTATCACTATCCACCTTCATAAACAGATGTACCGCCTCCTGTTCATATGATCCCTTTGAGTACTGGAAGGCCGCACTGAGGTCTCTCTAGAGCTTTCTCTTCTCTGAGCTAAACAAGCCCAGTTCTGTGGCCCTCTGATCATCTTAGTAGTCCTCCTGTGGACTTGTTCCAAGAGCTCTGCATCTTTCTCGTATTGAGGGCCCCAGACCTGGACACAGTGCTCCAGATGGGGCCTCAAAATAGCTGAGTAGAGGGGGAAAATGAAAATGAAGAATTCTGAGATTATATTATTATTAATTTCCTAATACTTTAAAGCCTATTTAGTTGAGCACTACTCCAAAAGTAGTGTCTCCTACTTCATTATTCATCCCATGATGTTAGAGGCAGAATTTGGTAGTATGACAGTAGAGGCTGAACCTTCCCAAAAATATTCCATTACATTCTGTTGCCATACAACAAGTGGCAGCAGAGGGGCAGTCTGGCAAAATGGCATCTGACACTGAAGTACATATGAAGCAAGGGTGTGATTGAATTCTTCCATAAGAAAAAAAATGGCACCTGCTCACAATCATCGATGCTTGCTGAACTTTTATGGAGACCAAACAGTGGATGTGAGCAGTAAGGTGGTGAGTGATATGTTTCAACAGTAGTGACAGCAAGTCACCTCCACTGCTGCAGATACTTGTGAGCATGGCATTCAGGCTCTTGTTCATTGCTGGCAAAAAATGATGACTCTGTTGAAAAACAGTGTTTTGTAACTCAGAATTCTGTCTATCTAGCAGTGCTATTGTGCTCTTTGTTTCCATTGTATTTTCCATGGAAATAAATAGGAAGAATTACTTTCAGAGCTGCTTATGTATATACTGGTTCACAGCAGTCCAACACTTTTCCATGGATGCTGACAAATATACGTTCTTTTTTCTCCCAGGGACTAAAAGGTGACCCTGGTAGTCCTGGTGTGGCTGGTCCTAAAGGAGAAAAGGTACTCATTTTTATTTCTAAGCTTATATTGATATGTGAGAGTGCATGATATTTCTTCAATAATGCACTGCCTTACCTAGGTGTGGTGAAACACTCATGCTGCCACTTGTCCACCTTAATGATTAAAGAATGTGAGTACTGATGAACTGTAAATACACAAGATGAACACTTTTTATCACTACAAAATGGACAGAATCTTCTTTTGAAAGCAATCCAGATCAGAAGCCTAAATTAGATGTTCTGAATTGCTCTCTTGGAGCTCTCTGATTTGTTTGCTGGATTGCAATTGAAGGTCTTACAGTGAAATTCAGAACTCAACAAGATAATTCTGTGAACGTTTTACATAGTCAGATGTCTTTATTATATGGGAGCAGTCACATTGACTTCAGAGGCCACCTTAAGCACGTAAGCATTAGCTTGTAATTTCACATACGCAAATGTCTCTGCAGGACTGCTTTTTTTTAACCGATTCATTTATGCAGAGGCCTGCCTATTTTTTTGTTTTGTTTTGTTTTTCTATTTAACTTGTGGTAAACTGTGTATACCTATGAAATTACTACCCCCAAAAAAATTCTTTACCCAAATATTATTGTAACAGAGAGCATGTTTGATAATTTTAGTGAATTTACTTATGCTATGATATGTATCCTCTAAAAATCTTAGAGGGTAAAAATTGGAACTAAAGAGACTGCTGGTTTATTCACTTTCCTGCTTTAACTAGGGGGAAGCAGGACCTCCAGGACCAACTGCCTTAAGTGTGAGTACACATAAAGCAATAACAGAAGAAATCACTCAGAAATGCTGCCGCTTTTAGCTTATTTGCCATTATTTAATTTAACAGTCCAGCCTCTCTACTGAGAATGTCTATGTGAATTGTGAAGCAGAAAAAAGGGAAATATATAAATGCAAAGAAAATAAGCACGTTTAAAATATCGTGTTTCCCAACAAATACTAGGGTAAATTTAGCTTATATTTTTCTGAAAACCATTTTTCAGTAAAAGTTTGGAAAACAAATGACATATAGGGATTTATTGTCAGAAAGTTAAGGGTGGAGAAGATGGATAGAGGTAAGGCAGTCACAGCTCCATGCCCCCAGGTCAGCTGGTAACTAGATTGAGCATGCAGTCCCAGTAGGCACATAAAAACACATATAATGCACATACATGTGTGGCCATGAAGGTCAGCACAGCTGGGCACTCAGCATTTCCACAAACAGCACCAGCAGCCTTATGCTGTTACCCCCTGACTGATTTATGATGGTAAATCGTAATAGTGGATAAACCGTGGTAGGGGGAAATACATACGTAATGTGCATATCTCCAGGAGATGGGCTGACACAGCCTACCCAGTAGCTGCCCCTAATTCTGGTCTCTACCCAGTTGCTAGCCCCCAGTCATTCCCTGCCTTTGTTTCTGCCATTAAACATCCCATATTAACTCTTGTGCAATCCCAAAATATTCTTCCACTGCATTCAGTTAATTATCCAATACCTGTACGTGGTAATGTCCCTCAGCATGATGAGTCCATCACATACAAGTTCTTCTTGCCTCATTGTATTCATGTTCTTCCCAACCTTTTTTAGCTGCCAACTATTATGTGTAAATGATTTTTGTCAACATATCATTCTTCTATGATCACATAATCTTGCCATTTGTATCTTAGTGTCTTCCCTTGTGAAGACAATGAGTCTTTAATTAGCTGCCATTAAAATACCATTTTCACCATTTCTTAGATTTTAAGTGATAAGGCAGTAATAACAGGAGTTCATGTATTCAAATGCTGTTGTAGAGGAGAGGGTGAAGTCTTCATTTTTTACTGCATATAGAGCAAAGTATTTTGAATCAGGAGTGCAATTTATCCCCTTAGGTGCAAACAAATGCCAAATTCTTTATTTGTGCATTGTTAGCCACTGTAGTTAGATAGTCCTTATATTAAATTAGTTAATTGCTTTCACCAGTTCTTGAGAAATGTAAATTATTCTTCATCTAGTACCATCCGTTTCAATTTCAAAGTATATTTTTTAAGTTTTGAATATTTGGTAAATACCTTCTTATCAAAACAAGACAAATAAAATACCATAGGAAGTCTACTGCAAACACAGAAATGTTTGAGAGTTCGTAGATTAACACTTGGAAGTTAACATTGGTGCTGTATAAGTCATTTTGAATTGATTCTTTCATGAAGCACATCATATGCTTTTTTTTTTTCATGCTGATACTGCTACTGATAATAAAAGTTAGTAAAATAATTTTAGTTAACAGCTTAATGGTACACTTTTTGAATTTTGATGATTGCAAAGTTCTTTTCATACAGAAAGTTGTTTGGAGTTTGTCATTGCAGAATTAGGTGTTTATATATCATGCTTTTGACATTTACGTAATCTTTGTGTCTTACATAATGACCAGATATGCATAGCAGCACAGACTGGAAAGAAAAAAGTGTAATGTTACAGTGATGGAAAGCCACTTAAAAGATTATTACACAGCACAGCATTTAAGTCATTTAGTTTCTTTTACTGTTTCTACATATTTCACAGCAGAAAAAAAAATGTGAAGTACCCTTTTTTCCTTGTTTATAGAAATAGTCCATATATCAGATTCTGGAAGTTTTGCAAATTCTACTACTAGCTCATTTATTAGCTTTATTGTAACTTACCAGAAAAAAAATTAAAGAGATCAGACGTGACAATTAGTTGACTTTCAAGAAACAAAAAAGATTTCTTGAGTAGGAATCTAACACAGTTTCTTTGCAAGGATCTGATATGTACTTGTGCAACAGAAAAGAAAATTTTGATGATTCCATGACCTGTATGTTGGTTGTACTCTGGCTAGATAGTGCCGTGGAGACAGTAGATGTTTTTAATTTTCTTGCAATGATTTGCGCCCCAAGAATGTATAGAGCCTAGCAAGAAATTATCCCTATTACTCTCCAGGGCATTTTGCTTTATAAAATAACAAATTCTGCCTCAATCCAAGTGATTTTACTCACAAACTGAAATGAGAAGGAAGCTCTCTGTAAGGTCAGTTCATTCAGGTGAAAGCAATGCAAAAGAGAGTGGCAGAAATGAAAATGAAGACAAAAACTCTTGAATTCCTAGCCTGTTATTCAACAGCAAATGTAGTTATTCCAGAGTCAGTATTTTGAACTACTTCTAAATAAACCTACATCCCAAATATACAACACAAGAGCTATCATTCATACCATTATTGATTAATCTGTACCTTTTCACTCTTGATATCCAAGACCATGGCTGCAAAGATTTCCTTTACATTGAAGAATGTAACTATGGACCCATACCATAAAAATATGCTTTTTCTAAGACTCCACAATTAAATGGTGTTATTTATTGTATTTGTTTTACATTGAATAAATCTAACTGTTCAATATCCTGACGCAGTTTAGTACTATGACCCAAGATCAGTTCTTAATGAAGCTCATGTCTCACTAGGGAGAAACAGCACCAGTTACAGTTGTGTTCTTCAGTCAAAATGTATGTTGAATTAGTGAACAGTGAAATATTTCTATTAAATAACTTTGATTCGAAGATCATTACTGAAATAGATTGAAGATTTTACTTCAAATAGATTCTTGCAGACCTCAAAGAGATCATTGAAATGGAATAGGATACTCTTGAGGATAAGACACAAGAAGAATTAATGATGCCTGTATGGTATTTTGAAACATTTCTTGTGTAACTGATGGAAAAGCAACTATACCTATTTTTGTAGCAGCACCTGAGTATGCTATCCCTGTTTCTAGAGGATGTGAATGCAAATAAGTCTATTGTCTCTGGTTCCAACTCTGTTCACTTGGCTTTCCTCAAAGATATATTCAGAGGTTAGTAGCACTGAAAAACAGAAACAGTTTTCAGATTGACTGAATTTGCACTTTCTGTGCATTTTGTAAAGTAGTGGACTGTCAAAGAATTACATTTCTTTGATTACAAAATGCTGTGCAAATGTTTCAGGTCAGTTGATTCTGGCATGGCAAGATGGCAGTGCATTGATACAGTCACTGATGTTTGTCTTCATATTTAGCATATGTTTTATTTTAATGTAAGTTAAACATTTAAATTTTAGAAAAGGATACGCAAGTCTTCAGGGAGATGGAAGTAACTGAAGCACTGAAACGTTTTTGTAGCTGTTAACTGACAGAAGGGATGAGACTGAGTATGAATTACTTTAGCAATCTGAAGACAGATTACAACACTTTGGGAATATATGGCCCAGCGGGAAGTCTTTCTCTCTTTGCCACTGTAAATACTCATGGGTTTCTATTGGCAAGAACTTAAGAAGATAAATGACATGAATTGTGGCAGCTAGGGGAAAATCCACTCTTCAGAGTTGTTTTACTTGTGTGACTTCTGTGTGGTCGTGACTTCTACAATATATGACCAGGAAAGGAAGATGTCTTGCTGAGAATAAGTAATAGGTCAGATAATATCAAGGTTCATATGTCAGTGAACAAAAACTCTGTCAAGACCATTCATGTTGTTACAGCCAAAACATTACATCAGTGTTTCAGTTATGAATCTTGTTAAATCAAAGTTATAAAATGTTCCATTTGTTTCTCTCATCTGTCATAAACATATGAACCGTATCATTATCATAATTTTAACATTTTGTTATTTTAAAATTATTTCTTTTTATCAAAATGAAAATGAATTATTTTGTTGTGGGGAGGGAAGGAAGAGAGGTGAAAATAATGTTGTATTAACACTGTTACAGCTAACTCTAAAATGCACTGGGACATGGAGGGAGGAAATACTCAAAAGGATTTGGATTTGGTCAAGCTGGAATGCAGGGCCTGGGTCATCTGCCTTCCAGAGCATCACAAGGACATTACAGAGCTCTGCTGCCCTGTGCAGCTCTACTATTTGTATGTATTTTCATAGAAATCACCTAGCAGTGAAACAAGCTGGGCAAATATTCTTGCTGATCTAAGCTGGAACCAGAATGCCCGCAGTGCTGTGCAGGGCTGGAGCGTTCTCCCTCACACAGACCTTCTCTGTAGTCCTGTCCTCATCATGAGCAGCATGAGCTTTACAAAAAGGCTGAGAATGCTTTACTGAAGTGATTCCCAAGTAGCTAGATGGTAGTCCTGGGGTCTACATGAAGTTGTCTATAGTTCATCTACAGAAGTCTGTAGTCAGAGGTAGCAGGAATAGTGAAAGTCTAAGTGATATGAGTCTAAAGGTCTTTAGACCCTGTGTCTAAAACGTCTTGGGAAATCCTGAGGAGAAATCCTGTTGGAAGCATAGTAAGACTTCTCTGCCGTCCAACATGAGAACATGCGGAAGATAATGAAATTATCAGTTCATTGAGGAAAAATCTGGCAGTATTTTTTAAAAGTTTGATTGACAGGTGTAGCAATTGTAGCTTCTCAAATGAATGAGGGCTACTCCACTTTAGTATATATGGCAGAGTTTGTAAATACTCAACAAATGTAAAAACCTGACAAGTGAATGAGCGTAAAACAAGCTATGAAACAGGAAATAATACTGTGGCTTTTAAGAAGCAAAAATTATGTTATCAGTTTCAAGGAGGAATTTCATGGATCAAAAGTTCGTTGCTCTGAAAAATACACTTAGAGCTGACCAAATTTGGTTAATGTCATTTACCAGTAAATCTCTACCAAAATCAAAGTTTGTGCATCAAATAAAATTTCTTCTTTACGATAGCAGGAATTCAGAATTGAGATTTTTGCCTGACTGTTTCTATGGTTAGTAGGATTGGGATTAGATTTACAGCCCATGTG